CTGACCCTTGATCTCGGCTTGTCTTATCCATTATTTTGTCTCTCTGGTTCCCTCTGACTTTGGCTTGTATTCTGTCTACTCTCTGTGAGCACAGCCCAGCCACTCTAACGACCGGCACTGCACTTCCTGTGTTTGTTCTGTCAGCGTGTCTGGTTCTGGAGCTTGTGACATTACAACAGGGCCACATGGAACCTGCTGACATTTCACGGCAGTTGGCCAATCAAGATTCCAGGATGGATAGACTTGACCACCGTATGGACTGATTTGCCCAGGCACTGCTGACCATTTTAGTCCGTAATGCCTACTTGCAACCTGACGTACAGAAAGGTGCTGCTGCTTCACCAGGTCCAATTCCTGCACCAGTACCTGTTGTCCCGGCTCATACAGTTCACATGACGCCTCCACAGCGCTATGGTGGTGATCCGACGCTGTGTAATGGATTCCTTAACCAGATCAACATTCATCTGGTTATGAATCCGTGTTCGTACCCTAAAGACAGATCGAAGATTGCATTTTTAATTAACCACCTTTCGAGTAGGGCCTTGGTTTAGGCTAATCCCATATGTCCTATTGGGCTAATCCCATATGTCCTATTCCGATTTTCTCTCTGCCTTTAAGAGAACCTTTTGATCTATCCAGTAGGGTTGCTTCCGCTGGCAAAGCCCTACTCAGGATCAAGCAAGGTTCGAGAACAGTAGTGGCTTATGCTGTAGAATTCTGCATCTTGGTGGCAGAGGTGGTCTGGAATAATGATGCCCTAGTAATCGCCTTTCAGGAAGGATTGGCCAGTTACATCCTGGATGAAATTGCACCCCGGGAGTTACCTATCCTACTTGATGATGTCATTGATTATTGTAACATAATCGATAACAGCATAAGGGAAAGACGTATTCAGAAAGACCTCAACTTCCCTCTCTGTCCTATACACCCCTGATCGCTCTACCTAGAGGTAAATTCTCCTTCAGAAACTATTGTTTTGGGTTTCCCATGGCTAGTGAACAGGGGAGGGCTGGCAGCCTTAGGCCTGGGGGGCAAAACCAGTCAAGTGGCCCATTGCACCACCAAATCAGTTCACCATCCATGCCCACCTTTTCCTGGTTTTATAACGGATATTGATGTTATGCTAATCAGTAGCTCTTTGCCATACCGGCTCCTTCACGGCTCCAGGCACTGCTTGTTGTGAGTGTGAGCCACTGTAAATTAAGGGCAGAGGGCACTTGCACTGCGGTAAAGATGGGGCTGGGCAGGAGGAGAGTGCAGTGCAATCAGTGCACTCCCCTCCTGTGGGTCACCAGTAGACTGGTGCACCTGCCAGGATCAGAGCCGGTGCAAGGATTTTTGCCGCCCTAGACAAAATAAAAATTTGCTGCCCCCCCATGTGACATCACAATGCCCCACCCATATGAACTAGCGCCAGTGCTGCACACAGTGTGTGTTTACATTAAAAAGCCTGCAGGGACCAGCTATAGACACCAGAACCACTTCATTAAGCTATAGTGTCCCTTTAATGTGAGGTACAGTATAGATTAGTGTCACTAATAATATACTAGATTGCCTACTTACAAGCAGATGAGGATGATGATGGGCTGCAGTTTGGCTCCACTGGTCTGGTGTAGAACAGGATCTCTGGAGGCTGTTTGCAGCTGTGGTCACAAAATTCAATGTTCTGGGAGAATTGGAAGCAGCTCCATTTTTTGGGGCCCCTTGCACAGCTCAAGGTCTGGGCCCCAGGGCCTGACGGTGAGTATGCCCATAAGGCCCACTCATAAGTTCCACCCACCCATGAGTTCGCTCACAGGGAGTGGAGTGTGTAGGGGATGTGTTATGTGTTGTAGAGGATCTAATATGTGTGCTTATGGTATGTAGTGTATAGGGTTACCAGTTTGTGCAGGTGATGTAGTGTGTTTGTGTGTAGTGGAAGCAGTGTGTATTTGTGTATAAGGATGTATTATGTGTTTCTGGTTGTGTGTAAGGGATGCATTGTGTGAATCTGTGTTTGTATGCATAAAGGATGCAAGGTGTGTGTCTGTATGTGTGTGCATTGAGTGTAAGAGATGCATTGTGTTTCTGTGTGTATGTAAGAAAAGAAGTGTGTGTGTTTGCATATGTGTATACGGGTTTGCATTGTCTGTTTCTGTGTATGTGTGCAAAGGATGCATTGTCTTTGTGTGTAAGGGTTGCATTGTGTGTGTGTGTGTAATGGATGCATTGTGTGTTTCTCTGTGTGTAGGGGAAGCATGTTGTGTTTCTGTGTATGTATAGGGATGCATTGTGTGTGTGTGCGCGCGCGTAGTGTGAAAGAGCTCCCTGTCTTGGCCCCTGTCCTATAGAGCTGCCCCTTCTGTCCCGTAGAGCTCTCCCCTGCACCTTAGTGGTCTCTCCTCTCCCCCACCCTCCCCTAGCGGTCTCTCCTCTCCCCCACCCTCCCCTAGCGGTCTCTTCTCAC